TCTACCAAGCCACAGCTAAATATCTTACGTAAAAATGGCTACACTGAGGAAATCATTTAAATGCATTTCCTGAAATCCATTCCTAATATTAAAATTAAGTCCAACAGTGAAAGTAACTCAACGGTAATCATCGCGTTTATTCCTGAACGCTCGAACAAAACTAAATTGTCCCTGCAGAATGAAGCTGTTTGAATCTACTTCGATATGAACGGTTTGTCGGGTTCGCCGGATCTACCGGAAACATAATCAGCTGGTTAGGACTAATGACGTGTATTTCCCCTATCGATTGCTTGCGACGATAAGATTTACATGCGATAAACCATTCAGAGATTGGGCAAAAGGATAGCAGAGCATCTGGTCGCTCTGAGAAATGGGAAGACAGATCATTCTGGCATTGTTTCCCATGATTCTGCTTGTGACACTGCGTTTGTCTGACGAATGTCACTCTTGTTGGTAAGGTTAGAACAAGCGTCGCGTTGTTCATTAAAAAATCGTTGAGTAAAAAGACTGACTCTGCAATGAATGCGCGAGCTCGTTTATAGTTTGAGTGACAGCTGGAATACCATCCGCCAACTCATCAGGAAGAACTAATGGATAAAAACGATCATCTTTCGTTATACAACGCTGTTTCATTTGTACATTATTACTCTGATGAAGAAGCTGGTGTGCGACGTCAAAACGTATAGCAGTGGCTGTTCATAGAAACACACTGAAAAGGCCAATCTTCGTTCGGTTGTATGGCTGAGCAAGGTGACTAGCAATTTCATAGTGCAGTTTTCAGTTTTCTGTTGAATGGCGACCGCGGTAGCATTCTGGAGGAATGAGCAAACGGTTGTTTGATTTGGTAATTGTATTCGTTTATACATGAAAGAAGTATTATATTCGAATACAACACGTCGCCTATAGGCGAATCCATTCAAGAGGTGGCGAAGTGCAGATGTGCATATTCCAGATGGGCAAAGTGTAATGAACCATTATAAAAAATTTCCTGGGACTGCTGCCCTCGCAGTGTAAAAGGAATGACTGGACATGATAGCGAATGAACAAATTAAATGATAACTTCCGCACAATCAGAACCATATTTCACCTGGCGTATCGGAGACCTTCCGCTAGCGTAACGACTCAGAGTGTCTCATTGGCTCAGTGAATTGTTACGTGAAAGGTATCGCACTGACCAGTCAAAGCCTCATCCTATATGTATCAAAATTGCTGCATGTATGAATAAATCTTGTTTCATGAATCCATCTGATTCCGGAGCGATTAATTATTTTGAACTTTCAGGTTTTGCTGTTTATGTGATCAGCACCTTAAAATGTTTACATTTGTAGTTCGTCTCTGGTTTCTGATGTCCGTTGCATTCTCAGCATTTCGACTCCCTTACTATTAGCAGGGTTGTAGCATTGTAGTGTAAACAGTTTTTTTGGCGCAGAACTGACTCTATTTTGTTTTGTTGTTGCATGCTGGTTTCCTGTTTAGCATCTGGGGTGTTTTGTTGCCAATATGAGCTTCTGGCTAGCTGGAGTGATTCGCAGTAACCGGAATTCGCAGCGCTCAATACCCGGAAGAAAGTAGTGTCTACCGTTACATATGCCTGTCATTTGACTCATTCGTGGCGAAACTCTGTTGTACAGTGTTCCGTTGTCGTTCTTGGTTCGTTTTTAGAACAACGGTCTTTGTGTCATTGCGATGCTAGCCCGAGTTAGGCGAAGTACTAGCGGGTCCCTTTCTACAAATTTATTGCTTTGTCGAAGTAAATGTTGTGCAGGTTACAAATACGTCAGAAGCGACAGTGGTTCATAATTAGATCCATTTTACTGCTGGAGATAGTAGAACTGAAGGATGTGCGCTGGCTGAATTCTGTCGTCGTGTTACTATCCTGCTCCAGCTGCAGATCTACTGTGCTGGATAGACGTCTTTTCATCTTTGAATGTCGATGAAGCTGCCAAGTTGCGAAGTCAGTTTTCTTTATTACTCTTTAAGGCAGGATTATTTACGCCCTCCGTGAACACGTCTAATGGAGTATGTGCCGCCTCCTAGAATGCCGCTTATCTTTGATCAGGTCATCACTCTTGCGCAAGGGAAAGTCCTGAAACTATGTTGAATATCAAGGACAAATATACATACATATCCCTGACAGTCTCTATGCGTAACTTTTATTCTTCTTTTATTCTACACATGATTCCAAATATCCATTCCAAAATGAGCTGTATGACTCCTACCAACTCTAAATCGTGAGTAACGAATATTCGAACTGACGTTTAACATTCAGAGCTTTTACTTCCAACCTTTTTCGGCGCCAGACATTCATTAACTTCATCTTCCTTTACCCTGACGACCGTGGACGGCACTACATCCAGTTTGAACTACGCATGGAAGATGCGGATCAGTTCACCGTATGTGAAAGATAAAAAAATCGGCAACCCTCTGCATATGACGAGGCGCAATCAGCGGTACACATCCGGAACCGTTGTCGCATGTATGTCCACCGCATTGAATAAAGGCCATGCTGGAGGCAGTAGTGTGGCTATGTGAACTGCGCTGAAACTTTAAAGGCATTGGTCCGTTGCTCCACCATAGCGAAAGTCAAACGACATTATAGGGTTATGAGTAATGAACAACTGAATATTTAAAGGAACAATTTAGGTAGCCTCACCTAAAAAAGGCTGTCATGTTTATGCGATAATGGAGGACGCCAGTTTGACCAGAATAGTATTAAAGTAGGGGTATCGTGTATCTGACCAAACTACGATGCACTATACCTTGTTAAATAAGAAGCCATATCATGAATGCTGAAACGTTCGGCTAACGGAAAATGATGAACAAAGATTGATGGACAATTTCATGGCTTTAAAGCGGGCCTGTCTAGCAGGAAGCACGTAGAGTGCAAATCTGGACGGTACCGCGGAGAGCTGTTTTCCACATTCATCCCAAAGCAAAGGGGGTAATTTCACAATCACGCCGTTCCTTTGACAGAGCGTAGTCGCTCTGTTACCAGACTTCAGGAATATCGATTTTGGGTTGCGAATGTTGAGACTAAAGAGAAGAGGAAATTTTCATGCATGTTATTCCGAGGGCATAGGCGAAATAAATCCATCGTCGCGCCATTACTTAAACTGTGCATCGTCTAGTAATCTCTTTAACTGTGATTGGTTATTTCGTTTGTCACTGTAGATGTTGAAGATGAACGATTCATTCAAACCCAGACTATGTTGTAACATTTACAAAGAGCAACTGCGTTTAAAGCTTTCGATATACAAGTGCGAACTACAGTGTTGACGTGCTTAACTTGCAAAGGGTTACGATGTCTCCGCCCTTCTTATAACCATTTGCCATTGCTTCCTGTCTTGTGCTAGACTGCAAGCCATTCCTTGTTGCCAGGCTTGGTTTGCAGTTTGTCGATAAGTGAGGCCCAGCTCCGTCGTAGCCAGTTCTTCCCTGATACGATCCTACCATGAGTTGTTTGATCCGCTTTTCGCCTTTCTAAGCGTGGGTTCAGCACACTAAGAATGGTAATGTTGATCAGCCGCTTGTCGTTCCGTCGTAGTGCTTGACAGAAGAGTGAGTTTAGTGTTTTTATTTGAACATAGGGAAAGTTAATACTAGTCCCTTTTCGATGTTCCCCTATTTGTGCATGTTCTGTCTTCATCATGCAGTTGAGTATTCATTTTTTTATCGATTAGTCTGTAGCCGAGGATTCCTCCCAAAAAAGGGCGTTCAAAGCCGTCTAGCGTATTAGTTTTTTTGTTAAGAGTTCACGCTGCTGCGGCATACGCGAGTACTGACCGAATAGCTGCCAAGATAGACTGAAATTTTACTGACATACTGACCGGTTTTTTACAGATTTCGGCTCAGCACATCAGGACAGTTGGAATCTCCCTGTGTGATTCTTTTTTGAACCTCTGCTGCACAGCTTCCTTCATTTGTGTTCGTCTATTCAAGTCAGCGAAACTTAGTGACATACTGCATATCGTCGTATGTTGATTTACAACTTCCCCAAACTACAGTATTAATATAAATAATAAGCTTCGTGTTTGATTGCCCGTTGTGTTTAGGCATAGTGTTCAACGTGGAAGCTCTGCCTAAAATGGGTTCAGAGTATTAATGAAAAGCAGATCTGCGAAAGGTGTTTGTTCTCGACGGTATGTAGATGAAGGTTGGAAGAATCCCACTATGTAGAAAGCGTCGGTTAGATATATCGTTGTGCAGTCGATGACCTTCGTTCAGTTTTCTGCTGAAGTCCAGTCCACTTACAATAGCTAGTTATTCGATGCGACGGTGTAAAACGATTAAACCCCTGGCGCATAGGCGGAAAAATATATGGGAGCAGCATAAGCAATTTTCATCATTTCCTTCGCACCCACCAACTGCCTTCGCACTTCGGAACGCCAAAAAGTCGATTGGAAAGAAAAAGTTTGTAACCGTTGCAGTGTCGCTCTTCCTTACACTTTCATGATGGGGCTATTTCTGATACCCTTCTTGTTATGAAGTTCATTATAGGAGCAGATTTCCACTGGCACGCAGTCGGCCAGACATGCCTAATGTAAAGGCGAATTCAAGAGTAGCCGTGTGGCAAGCACAGTGTGTTGTCTCCTGTTTCCTTCCCACGGTGGTATTCATTTATCAACTTATGAGGAAAAAAAGCGAGTGACTCCCACCGGAGCTCGAAACTGGAACGTTTCGGAACCTGATGCTCTAGTGACTGTGCAACTCCGGTCTGCACAGGCTCAGACGTAGACTTCGTACCATATGATACAGTGTATTCGGCACTCTATGTTAACTTGTCATTTATTGCGTGTTCTGAGTAATGAATATTTACTCGATGCATTTTTGTTTTTTGAGAACGAATTGGCCCACTGCGACATGATACAAAATCTTTCATGTATTTTAGATATCATAAATGCCTCTCACGGGAAAGGATGGTCGTGATGTGGTGCCATTAACGTATTTATGCATTACTGCAGGCGGTAAAGGGTGTCTCTCAGTAGGTAATTAAATGAAAAGTACATAAATATTGCTCGTACGGGTCCTTTAGCCGTATTAATCTTTCTGACTACGAAGTTCATGACCCATGGTAGGGTGTCTGTTGAACCAAAACGCCGTTCGACGCAAACTGCTTTGTCTGGGGGTTCAGCTATATCCAGCTTTATCGAAAATCAG